TGTGCTTGTTTTGTATTTTCTTTGACATAAGACCTACCTACTGTGAAATGTATTTAATACAGCCAGTGGCAATCCACTGAAGTACATTATTTTTCCTTTGCATGTAAGTACCAGTTGCAGATAGTTTCTTGTTTAGAATTGAGTGTCCATGTCAATTTCCTCCAGTTAGCATTGGAATCCCATGTGGCTTGAACCTATACAAGCCCTATAATTACTTCTAGCCTAGTGAGTTCATGTGTGCACTGGCCCTATGGTGTCTGAAAGAGACTCTATCCTTGGACTCATTCATCACATATGGGTCTTAAAATCTGTCTATCAGTCCCTGAGTGTCTAGTCGAAAGTTTGCTTAAAATCACATGTTTATGACTGAGTGCACACATATTCTCCATGCTCTATACATTGTCCATTTGAGAGTCTCCATGATACCTGCCATGTGTTCCAAGAAGAAACTGCACTAATGTTAGTTGTGTGAGCACAGATTAATGTGCAGAAATGGTCATGCCATTCAGAATGACTTTATTGTTGTATTTCTTCAGCATGGTTGTCCTCAAACTTCCAATTGCTGTAGCCCTTTAATACAGTGCTCATGTTGTGGTGATCACACTGAACTTAAAATTATTTTATTGCTATTTCATAATTATAATTTTCCACTATGAGTCATGATGTAAAATATCTGACATCCAAGACAGACCCCTGTAAAAGAGTCCTAGGACTCTGGGAAAGAGTTGTTCAATCCCTAACTTGGTTGCCACACAGGTTAAAAATCACTGCTTTAGCAGATCCTGTGATTTTCTCATAAGCCCATGGCCTATCTTGTCAAAGTTCTAGAACATTCTAGCATTTTCAGGCATGGGCTACATTCACGGACTGGGCTTTAATTTCAGTCTCATCAGTGGGTCACCATTGTAGGTCACAGTGATCTGTTAGGCTGATTCTCCTCTAGGGCAGGCCAAGTACCCTCTACTGCTATGAACTGTAGTCAGAAGCCTGGGGCTGCACTTAGGCTCCAACTCATATTCTCCATGTCAGGTGATATATGTAAGCGTTGTCTTCACCAACAGGATGTTACCATCAGTTTGTGGAGAGCAACCAGTTACCTGAGGTCATAGCTTGAGATATTTTGTGGTTTCCATGGAGTCACTTTGGCCAATGACTCATTTTGTGAAAGTTTATCTAGAAATGTCAGTCTTCCCCACATCTAGGAGTTTACTGAACATGAATGTTACAATAATTCAGCATCTGCTGTCCTGGGGATTTGAGGCCTAAGACTGAGTGGAACAACAACCCTGATCTGCTTGGATCAGTGACCAGAAACCCTTATTCTTTAAAAACACAATGGAAAGATTGTCATTTCTATTTAATTTTTAAAGCCGGCCTCATCTGTATAACAGGAAGCCAGGGATCTGAAACTCAGAGTAAAGAGGAAACCCCAGAGGCTAGCAGGAAAGTCTGCCAACTCCCAACCCCATCTATTGTAGGAGGAAGACACAGAGCTGAGAACCAGCCTGAAATATTGTACAGCTGTCAGCCAAGGCTGTGTCATTGTGTTCTCCGAGCACAGTAGTATGTGGCAGTATCTGCAGTGTCTACACTGGTGATCTTGAGTGTTACCCGGTTGTTGGAGGTGTCCTTGGAGATTGTGAGCCGGCTCTTCAGGGAAGGGTTGTACCTTTTGTCATCATCCCACCAAATGATTGCAAGCCCCTCGAGACCCTTCCCTGAGGGTTGTCGGACCCAGCCCACACCCACACCAGAAGTGCTTAGTGAAAACCCAGAGAAAGAGCAGGTCAGAGTGAGGTCCTGGGAAGGAGGAAACACTCCAGGACCAGACTCCTTCAGGGTAACCTGGGACAGGACATCTGTGGAGAAAAAGTAGAAGGTAAGGTTGGCTCAGAGTGAATTATGGGAGTTCATAGAGTAGGAATCCATGGCACTCACATGCAGGCACAATCAGCAGCAGGAATGAGGAGGCAAACAGGGCCATGGCTGCACACCAGTGAGTGTCCAGGCCCAGCTTTGCCTTTTCAACCTCTGCTTGGGTGGAGCCTGGAGAGATTTGCATTCTCTCATCAGGAGCTGACTCTGATGGAGGACTTAAATTATGGGTCTCAGGGGGAGCCAGTCTGAGATGCTGATCCCTTTCCTTAATTAAAAAAAACCCTATGCTGAACCCTGTGGCATGGTGTGTTTCTCTCAGGTGCCACGTTTCTAACTGACAACATCAGTGAGCTCACATCTGCATCAATCCTGTTGTTTCTGGAAGGCATTGTCTCCTTGGTGTCCTCCATTCCCTCAGGAATTCATCATCTGTGAGCATCCTCTTTTGCAAGGCTCCCTAAGCTCTGTGGGGACAGATTTGAAGGAGACATCACATTGAATGTTCCAAGATCTCTCACTCTCTGCACATTCTCCAGGCAGTCTCTGCATTTACAAATATTGCAGGAAGTTCTCTGATGATGGGTGATCTATGGATATTTGCAGAATGTCGTTGGAGTCATTTGATTGCTAGTTCTTTAGGATAACAAAATACTTGTTTTTTCTCTAAGTATCATTTGTTAATCTTTGGTTCTTGGCCACCATATTGTCAGGATTGGTTCCATCTCGTGGTGTAGACCTTAAATGTAATCTATATACTGGTTGGTTCATACCTCAACGTTTTGGAAACTATTGTATCTACATGTCCTGTAGCCATGTCAGGATTGTACATCTAAGGTTTATAAACATTGCACCTTATTTTCTTCTTCTGTTTTTCTACTGACATCATCTACAATGTTTTTAATTCTGTCTATTATGATTAGAACAACAATGATTATGGCTGAGTAAGTGTCTCTAGTAAGATGCAGAGTCCTTTGGGTTCATAGCCAAGAGTGGTGATTTTGAATGGTGGGATAGATCTATTCCCAGCCTCCTGTGGAAAAGCCACACTGGTTCCCACATAGCTGTACACAGTGGGTGACTTGGCAGTCTGAGGTGTTTGGGCTTTAAAATGACTCCCCCAGCAGACACCAGATAAGTCTTAAAGTCATGTCTTTACAGACAGTAACAGATGCCTTCCTGGTACATCAGTGAATTCCATTGAGTTGGGGGCCAGGAGTGGAAGAATCTCCTGGCTTCTGGTCATTCCCAGCACCCCAGTTGGAGGAAGAGAGGAGAATACTTTATACAATCTTTGCTGTGTCAAGAAGTATTTTAAATTCAGCATGGATTTGCATAATCTCTAACATAGAATTGGCCTGGGGATTAATGTCTGCCATGAAGAATTAAGCAAATATTTCATCTGTGTTAAGGACATGGAACTTGTGCTTGTCATGGGGGGTGATGGGGGAGGTCCTTCTGCATATATGTTTGTCTTATTGGTTGACAAATTATGCTCTGTTGGCCAATAGTGAAGCAAGTTAGGCGGGACTAGGAGAGAAGGAGGATTCTGGGAAACATTTTAAAGAAGAGAGTCACGATGTGATCTCAGGAAGAGCAGACTCATAAGGCCAGCATCCTAGGTAAGATAAGTCCTTATAAAAATATATAGATTAGTAGTTATGTTTGATAATTAAGACTGAGAGAGCAAATAAGAAATCCTAGTCATTGGACAGCAGCATTGTAACTGATGTAAGAATCTGTGTGTTATTTGGGGTCCTAAGCAGCAGCGGAACACAGGAAGCTGGCAGAAATAGTTGTCATTACTGGGGGTATACAATACAGGGACATGTAAATTAATGTTATGAGATATGGGAGATCACACTGAATCCAACACTTGAGATGACTAAGCACCCTTGGTCTCCATGCTTGTTACTCACACACTAGTGAAAACCAATTACTCTATAGCATGAGGATGAGGAGCTGGTATCCAATGACTGTAGAGCTGATACCATAGCAATGTATGTCCATGTTTTGTAGAGACTTGGTACTGTAGAGCTGGGTACTTGGACTGAAAAAGCAATAACTGTGGCAGCCGAGAGTAACATATAATCTCAGAACCTGCCTCCAATAGCATGCACATGCCTCCAGTTGATAAATGTGACATGTGAAAATAATTTAATAATGCATGTGTCCAATTTATAGGAATCATACTAACAAGGCAGTGCATTCTGATATAAATATGTCTTTCATTCTAAGGTATGGGAACTTGTGCAGGGCCTCATGGTCAGAGTCAACAACATACCTTGAGGTCACTGAAAACTTAAGACTATGGAAGGAGTTTTTATTTGCACTCTGTTGGTGATTTGGAATTGACAGGTCAACTGTGTTATACTGTATTCTCAGCTCTTGCTCCAAAACTTCTCATCACTCAAAATTCCTATATATTGTCTGTAGGGGAACCTGTAGCCAGGCCTGCGAGGACATGGTCATGGTGACATAGAGATAGAGTTTCAGTTTGCTGGGTTTCGCTTTCAGTTTTCACTGTTCCATCTGGCTAGGTCGCTCTGTAAGTAAGGCTATTCCCTATCAAATACCTTTACATTTCTACCTGACTCCATATAGGTAATTTGCCACTTTAATTGTCATCATAATCCATCATCACAGTTTTGTACACTTATTGTTTTATTAAAGAAAAACTGTGTCAGCTGGACATTGGTGGCACACGCCTTTAATCACAGCACTCAGGAGGCAGAGGCAGGCAGATCTCTGTGAGTTCGAGGCCAGCCTTGTCTACAGAGGTAGTGCCAGGAAAGACTCCAAAGACACACAGAGAAACCCTGTCTCGAAACCCCTCCACCCCCGCAAAAAAAAAAGAAAAGAAAAGAAAAGAAAAGAAAAACTGTGTCAGTGCAGGCAGTCAGTGGCAAAGGTTTCCTAAGGATATGGTGTACTCTTGAGGATTCTAATCAACACCACTTTGTACTTAGATGTCCTTTGAAAAGTTGAAAAGAGTAATAAATGCCTTTGAAGAGGAAGCAAGCAGAGAAACTCTGATTGCTTATTTCTTCACAAGTCCCCAGGTTGATCTTCTCTGTATGTCAGTCCCAGGGCAGCTCCCTGTTCCTCCAGGGTTTCTGACACACTCAGGATGTGGTTGCAACACTGTGTATAGCACAGTAATAGACTGCAGAGTCCTCAGACGTCAGGCTGCTGAGCTCCATGTAGGCTGTGCTGGAGGATGTGTCTGCAGTTATTGTGGCCTTGCATTGGAACTTCTGATTGTAGTCAGTATCACCATTTCCAGGATCAATATCTCCAACCCACTCCAGTCCCTGTCCAGGCCTCTGCTTCACCCAGTAAACATAGTAGTCTGTGAAGGTGATGCCAGAACTTTGCAGGACAATTTCACTGAGAAGCCAGGCTTCACCAGCTGAGGACCAGACTGCTGCAGCTCAACCTGGGAGTAGACACCTGTGGAGAAAAGGCAGAGTGGATATCTTTGTCTCCTCAGTCCCTGTTGCTTCTTCAGCAGTGGAACTGGAAATCCCCTTACCTGTGGTTAGTGACATAGAGAACATCCAGTTCCATCCCATGGTGAGGACCTGTGTGCTCAGTGACTGTGGAGAGGACACTGTTCATATGTTGTTGGTGGTGTGGACAGCCCTGTATTTACCACTATAGACTCACATGATTTACATATTCATGAGCAGGGTAGTTCTTAGATAAGGCCTATTCCTGGTGGAGAAGAAGACAGAGGAAACCTGTGTCAGGCAGCAGGATCTTGAGGTTCAAGTCCTAATCCTCTCAGAGCATATGTACAGCATCCTTCTTCCCTGGGCTCTCTGCAGATGCTAAGGAAGTAACATCAGGACCTAAGATCTCAATAGATTTCAGGCCTGAGATTTACACCACAATGATTATTGCAGCAGCATCACAGTAACTAAATTATGGAAATAAACTGTGCATCTGTCAACAGAGAATCTCATCAAGAAGACAAGGCCATATAAATAACACAACAGAAGTTTTTCATCTACAAGGAAGGTGGAACTTAGTTTAGTGATAAAAAATGGAAGCAAGTAGAGATAAATGTACTAATTAAGACTAGATATTAAATGAGACTCTCAAATGTAGTTTTTAGATATTGCGTGCTTACATACAATTATGAATACCAATGCATGATGCAGTATAAGTGAACTTGTCTAGTAGAATACACATAAATTAGGAGAAGAAAGAAAATGAAGGATAGAGATGATGGGGGGAAAATACATTGTATGAAATACATGAGTATGAAAATTCTAAAACAATGTAAAATAGTTATTTTAAAATTTTATATCTCCTATTATTTGAAATTTTAATCTGTGTGAAAAACTGAGTATGATCATATCTCTACACACTATGTCCCTCTAGTTCCTCTTGTGACCTTCCAATAAGTCTCGGTACCACTTCATAACAAGTTTTGTTCCTTTAACAAAGAACACAATGAATCCAATAGGTTCTATCTATACACACACAGGTGGAGTCTTTTACTAGTACACCAGAAACCCCAAGAAAACTTCCAAATAAAACTAATATTATTTTCCTGATTGGTCATTAATGCAAATAGATTCCCAGCTGAGTGTGGGTCCTCAGGAGTTTCTCTCCATCCATGTAATAGTTTTAAAATTTGTTATATTGTCTTTAATGGTGTGAACAGGAGAGACACACACCAGGGTGTATGTGTGGTCCTCAGAGGACAACTTATAGCATGCAGTTCTTGTGTCCTATCATGTGGGTCCAAGCAAACAAAATGAAGTTGCTAAGTTTGCCAGTGGACCCATTTACCCACTCAGCTACTACACAGGTTCTGACCAAAGAAAATGTACTCAAAGGTATTTTTAAAAATGTATTTTTTCCTATAACATTGTGCATTTTATTTAATTGGTCTTTTGCATGTGTTTCATGGTTACAAAGTTGTGTTTTTGTATTTTGTATGTGCGTGTGCGTAAGAATATTGACTGTTTTGGTCAATATTTTTGTTTGGTATTTCCTTTCGTAATTTTTTTGTTTATTTGTTTTATCTTTGAGAGAGAAAGACACGATGTAGAGTTGGGTAGAACAGGATACATGAAAGATCTAGGAGGAGTAGATGGAGGAGAATCAGTGATCAGAATATTTGTAAAAAAAATTTCAAATGTAAATAAAACTGAATAAAATAAACAAGAAAATATACACCCATAAAAGTTTAACAAAAACTCTTGACTGTGAGCATGGAAACATCACATGTCAACAACAGCAGGTGCAGGTCAGCTGGTAGACTCCAGAAAGGAAACCACAGAGGATACAGAGTCCGTCCACATCGACCTCATCTACCTCCTGAGGATTCTTGGCTCCATTGCGCCCCTTGCAGGTGCTGGTATCCCCTGCAGATTGGTTTGTCATTGCTTACAGTCAAGTTGCACTGGATCCCTTGAGCAATGTATCTCTGCAACCTCAGTGCCCACAGAGCTCAGGTACAGGGATAAATGGCTCTTGTTTAACAGGAGATGCTGATGCTTCTTTGAGAGATTGATTTAAGTTGGGCCTGTATGGTCATCAGTGTCCCTCTCAATGCCAGGCTTCTCTATGGTGGACCCAGTTCTACCAGTTCCCACAAGTAATAAAGAGACTCGAGGAGAGATATGGGTCTTTGCAAACGTCATCAAGAGAATACCTGAACTCAGAGAAGCACAATTAATCTTGAGCTCAGATGTAATCCCTCATATATCCACGCATGGATTCCTGTGACACTCTGATACAGGAGTCAAGAGAAAGAGGAGGCAACACTGTAGTACTCGCAGACCAGTTAACAACTTGAGAAAAATATATTCACATGAAGAAGGAGGTAAAAGTCAAGTCAGTTTTAACTGGGACTCAATATATTTTCCATTCCCCCATGAGTATCAATAAAATGTGGCATATCAAATTTCTGTTAGATTATTCACCACCCAAAATTTTTGGCACGGAAAGGAGACACAGCAAGGCAAGGAGAGTCCCCAAAGCCCACAAAGGAGATGGAGACCGCCCCTGTTCCTACTGTGAGGAGTCCAACAAGAGGACCAAGGTACACAGCTGTCACATATATGCAGAGAGCCTTGGTCATTTCATTGCAGGCTCCCTGGTTGCCTGTTCAGGCTCTGTGAGACCCTATGATCCCAGTTAGTTGATTCTGTGAGTTTTCAGGTTGTGTCCTTGACCCCTCTGGCTTCAACATTTCTTTCTCCCCCTCTTGTGTTGGGTGCTCAGTGGGTCTGCATCTGGTTCCATAAGTTAGTGGATGAAGCATCTCTGATGTCAGTTGGGCTAGGCACCAACATATAAGTACAGCAGAATTTTAATTCACCATACAGTTGCTCCTGGGGATCAGAGCTGAACTGTAACAACTTTGCTGCGGAAACGCTCTCCCGCCTGAGCAGAGCTGATACACCGGGGAAGCTTTCCTGGAGCAGGGCTGTAAGCGGCTATGCTTACTATGACCTGTGCTGTTCCTTGGCTCCAGAGCTCCATCCAAGCTGTGTAACACTCAGTATTCTGAGAGTCCCAAGTGCCAGAATACATGTCCCATCTGATCTGCCCAAACACATAGCATAGGAAAGGTGAGCATCTCTTCTCAGGGGCCTCTGCTCAGCTAACATCAACAAAGACTGCACAGAATGTCTGATTGCACTCTTTGGAAGCTTGTTTTGTGTCTCTTTGAGATCAATGAGGAGATATTAGAAGCTCCTAGTCAGTGTCTTCATAGTCATTCTTAATATATTAGAATCACAGTTATGCACATCCAGAGTTCTGGTCTATAAGGAGTGTGTGTGACAGTGATGACCTGGCAGTCTTGCCTTCAGGATGTGGCTGTCTCTGGTTCTTGGTTGCATTATGGTCAAGATTCTTGGTACTGGGCAGCAGCTCACTCCTGTCCATTACTGATTCCCACTGGGCTCTGTTGGAAGGCTTTGCTGCCTCATCAAGGTTGCAGGCTCCCATGGACCAGCTGCCTTTCCCAAAAGCTCAGCCACATGGAGGTTCCCTCCCTCTGCTGTGCAATTACCTCCTCTCTATCTGCCATTATCTGGTGAACATTGCTGAACTCTGAGGAGTTACCTTATCCAAGAGCTGTTTCTAAGCAAGGTGCCTGACCCATGGCACAGATTCCAGCAGGAAGGCTCTCTTGCTGCTCATATGATAACTAAGACTTGTGCTAGTAGCCCTATGACAGGGTGGTGATATTGATGCAAATTAGTGTTTGTCCCCATCATACAGTCATTCTCCCAGAGGGCTGTTTCTGTCATACACACAGCCATCCTAACCGGAGTCAGCACTTCATAGCCCTTACCCTCCTTTTCAGTCAAAGTTCCTGAGAAGGAAAAAGAGCTACAGGGATGCCCAATCAACCCATATTACAAGCACACAGGAAGAACACTGCCCGGACCACAGAGTTAGCCATTCCTTAGCTCCAGAGGAGCAGCTGAGCTCGGTAGTAAGTACACAGTGGTCAGAACTAGAATTATTAATTCAACACAGGGCAGAAGATGCCGTGATGAATGCAGTAATGGAAATATTTTAATTAAATTAAATTCTTTCTCCTCTTACTCTCATGTGTACAGCCCTCCAGAAGAGGAGAGGGGGGTTGGACAATTCAAGGTGCTTAGTGTGACTGAGCCTGGCTCCCCTTCCACTTGGCTCCCTCAGAATTATTGAGACTGTTCCAGCTGAGGGTCGGCCGTAACTTCAGTCTGAGGGAAAAGTCCACCTGAGGTTCCTGAGCTTCCCCAGCAGCTCCCGGGTGACCACAGGGAATCACTCTTCCCTCATAGACACTTTCTGCATTTTCTTCAGGGAGGACTGTGTGACATATTTTTTTTTAAGAATGTTCGTCGAAGCAGAAGTCATAATTTTTAGAGGCACTGATCAATTCCTGAGTTTATAATTATGAAAGGATCCCCAAGAAAACCAGCAGATGGAGAGGACACACTGATAAAACAGACTAAATAATCTATTATGTCTGAACCTGGGCTTTATGTGTGCTGAGCGCCCCCTGCTGGTCATGGGAACCCGGCAGGGAGCTTTTTGTCTGGGCTCACACTGGAGACTCCTCACTGTGTATCTTGTACAGTAATAAGTGGCCATGTCCTCAGTTCTCAGGTTGTTCATTTGCAGGTAGGCCATGCTTTGGGAATCATCTCTGGAGATGGTGAATCTGCCTTTCACCGAATCCACGTAATAGGTTGCATAATTATAACTTTTAGTTTCTATGTGAGCAACCCACTCCAGTCCCTTCCCTGGAGCCTGGCGAACCCAGTTCATGAAATAGTTACTGAATGTGAATCCAGAGGCCGCACAGGAGAGTTTCAGTGACCCTGCAGGCTTCACCAATCCTCCACCAGACTCAACCAGCTGCACCTCACAGTGGACACCTGCAAACAGAGAGGACCCTGATGAAGAAACTGTCACAAAGTCTACTGTCTCTCTCACTCATGTCTCCTCACACACTCAGTATACCGTGTTATCTACCTTTTAAAAGAGCAACAAAGAAAACCCAGTGTAGCCCCAAACCCATGTTGATTGTCGTGTTTTCAGTGCTGCTCACTGAGTGGAAAGACAGGGCTAGAGTCCTCTGCCTGACCTGCGGGGTGAGGCCAGGCTGGTTTTATGAGAAGAGGGAGGCTGTATTTGCATATCTTCCTGATATATATTATTCTCTGATGTGTGAGAGCCTTAGAGGCAGCAGGTAATGGTGCAAATTTCTGAGAGAAAATGAACCAGTGAGGACGATGATATCATTGAAATATTTTTCATGATTTGTTTATAAAAAGATTCAACATCTTTAACTTATTTTTTTCTTTTTATACATGAACTCTTCACCGCTTATCTTACCAGATAGTATACATTAAGTTCATAGAAGTTTAAAAATTACATTAAATTATAGCTTTGAATCTGGGCTGGAGACAGCATGGTGGGAAAGTTCAACATGCACAAGACACAATTTTTATCCTCATTATACTATACATGATATATATATATATGTGTGTGTGTGTGTGTGTGTGTTTGTGTTTGTGTGTGTGTGTGTGTTAAATAAACATTAACAGTACAGAGGGTATTCCTTGTGATATACTAAACACATACAAAATGCTTTTACATATATGGCATATGTTTGTGTATGAGCTGTGTTAGTTAACATCCTTTGCATTTGTGCCATTAGTTTTCATCAAACTATATATAGGTTCCTTGTGTGTGATTACCACAGGAAGGAAAGGAGTCTGCTACCTGGTCTCCAGTGCCATGGTTTTAATGTATTCCCATCTCTCCAATTTTCTGAGGATGCAGGACTTTCCTGGAGATGTGGGGTCAATCTCAAGAGGAGGACCCTTGGAATAGTCACCCCTGGATTAGAAAGGGGAATTGTGATGTAATTGTTTAAGTGATTAATTAATTACAGAAACAATGTTATGGCTAAGAGTTCTCATGGACTATGACTTTTCTGTTTCTGTGCCATCTGCAGGGAAATGACTTCATTTAGAGCAACTAAATGAAGGGACCTGCTGATTTGGAATCATTTCTGCTTTGAGTCCTTTGATGACCATTCATGTCTCTGACAGGTGTCACTCAGTCAGCCCGGTTATGTGTGGATAGCAAAGTGAATAAACTCCAGACAGACGCGGGGACCTCCCTGCTGTTTCCCCTTTGCATCTGTCCACAGCCTCCATCACAAGCAAGTCTCCATGGCAACAAGAAAATTAAAATAACTCCCTGGGATCTACCATGGATTCAAGTTGGACATCAACAACTATCGAAAAATAGAAAGCCTACAAACTCATGGTAACTAAACCACTTCCTCCTAACTGACTCCTGGGTCCAGGAAGAAATAGAGAAAGAAATGAGAGACGTCAAGCATTCAATAACAATGAAGGCACAACACATCCAAACACTGTGACACTATGAAAGGAGTGATAAGAGGAAAGTTCATAGCACTACTTGCTGCATAAATAAATTAGACAATTCTCACACAAAAGACTTTACTGACCACCAAGCATGTGAATGGGTCTGACCTAGGGTCTCTGCTTGTATGTGCCAGATGTGTAGTATGCATGGTCTTCTTGTGGGAATCCTAAAAGTTGGAGCAGGAACTTTCTGTGACTCATCTGCTGACTTCGTGACCGTTTTCTGCATACTAAATTGTGTCATCAACATGGGATGCTGATGGCTATCATAGGTTGCAATGGACAAGAGTGCATGCCTACTTAAGTGATATAGAGACAAATCCTGTTACAATTCACAAATTCCTGGGACACATGAGAATATAAACAGATACTATTAGCTTAACTCCTGTATTGTAGAGAGACCTGTGCAGACCCTGTGGATATAATATCAATGTATAATCACTCAATTTAGAAACAGAATCCCAAGCAAATTTAGTTCCTTTTCCTGATTAAATTGATTGACA